TCACACAGGCTCCCTGAGACTTCACTTTATGGCGCTGACCCCCACGTCGCCGGCCTCCTCCTCCGACTTTTGACTGAAAAAGAAGAAGATACACTTCAGCGCGCAGCAACCTCCGAATCGGAGTATCAGCACAGCGGGAGTTCAGGTGGATGACAGGCACATCCAGACAGCAGGAGGTCAGTTGTGACTGATGAGCTTCCTCCCACTGCAGGAAGGAGATAAGGCAGACAGACATGCCATGAAGGAAGGAGAGACAGATAAAACATGAAGTTCAGCCCTTCAAGCTGGGGAGGACCCAATTTCTCAATTTTCTCAAAGGTTCACTCCCGAGAGAGTCAGTGGGTAATCACAGGGTTGGGTATCTGGGAAGTCGAGGCCTTGGGCTCTCTTGCCTTTGCACAGCATGACAGGAGAGTCCCTCCCACCTCCCTCCCAGGGCTCTCTTGCCAACCTAACTCTGTAGCCAGCCTCAGGCCAGCAAGCCCACCGTTCTCTTTCAAAGCAGCCAAATACCTTATTGCCCTCACGGATGTGGGGCTCTTCGTCCAGTGCAGGCTGAGGGGAAGCAGCAAGGAGAGAGAGGCAGAGGTAAGCAACAACAAATGCAACACAAACTCTCAGGGGAAGGGACAAAACAAAGAGCAAGCTGGGAGCACTACTTAGAACCACAGGGACGCTATGTTAGGATGAGGAGGATGTTAGGATCAGTAGGAAGGCATGGGCATACACAAAGGGAGAGAAGCACTGCCGGAGGGCCCTCTTCTAGCAGCCAGCCTGGCTCAGGGTGGCAAGATTTGACCAAGGACAACTAGGTTAGCTAAAATTAAGAGGGGCAACACTGACCGGGTCTCTTGACAGAGTCAGTTCCTTAACCTTTCTCTCACCAGATAAGTAAACTGAACAAGAGAATTTTCCTCTGCCAGTAATAAAGCTGATAAATAGCTCCCAGAGCCTGCAGTTAGAATTGAGTTTCTGTTCCTTTCAGGCCAGAAAGGCTACATATCCTTCTTGGACAAGCTGAGCTGAGAAGTCCTAACCAACAAAACAACCAGGACAAATTTCTCTTGAGAGAGAGAAGCCTTTCCGTCTCCTTCGACATTTCCATCCTTCCTTCCTGACAGGGCAGATGACCTGTGTCTGATACTACTACTTAGGTTTTAACTCCTCTAGTGTAGGGTTGTTCTACCGCTCATTCAGAGAGCAGAGACCCATTCTGACTGGTTTGTTGGGTGCTTCACTAGTTCAGCTCAGTACACGAAGACGCTGCTTCACCATAAGCATAGTCAAGTAGTGGAACAGGTTGCCAAGGGAGGCCGTGCAGTCTTCTTCCCTGGAGGATTTTCAAGACATGACTGGATAAAACCCTGAGCAACCTGGTCTGACCTCACAGCTAATCCTACTTAGAGCAGGAGGTTAGACTAGACACCTCCTGAGGTCCAACCTGAATTGTCTCAGGACTCTAAGCTGCTAGCTGAAAGGTCAGCCATGAGAAGTCATCCAGTCATCAGAGAATTCCGATTTCTGCTGTGAGACTACTTAGATTTCTATTTGTTTCAGTTGCACATTGAGACTCAAGGTGAATTCAAGGGTATGAGGGGATAACGTTTGTGCTTTAGGGTGCCCTTCTTCCAACAGATGAAACCTGCATGCTAACAGCTAGGACAGACGTGATCTTTTCCTCACTTACCAAGGGTTGCAGGGCAGTAGGTGTCAGTGGCGCTGCCGCTGTTGAGGGGGCCTCGTCCCCAGCTGGTGGGCCTCCAGCTGCTGTCCCAGCTGGAGGAACACCATCCTCTCGTTTCGTAACGGCTCCCTTCTTGGTTGATTGCATCTTGATCTGCTGTGGCTTGGAGTTCATTGGCGAGTTATTGGTGGTCTGGAGTAACTAAAAATTACAAAGGGAGAGGCCAAAATCAGCATGAAAATAGGCCAATATGGAAAAGTTCAATGCTGCTTTTTAATGAAAAAAAAAATCTTTGAGAAAACTGATACCAACAGTCATCAGGAGAAGAACGCAGCAGCACCTGCTCAAAAAAAATCTAGGCCCGTGAGCTGCCTTAAAACCCTTACAGGGTGGAAAGGGCCACTCAGCTGAGGTGACACTTAGCCCTCTCCCCAGTACACTCAAATGGACAAGCTACAAGCTGTCAGAAAAAGATCAAGCTGTAAGAACCAGAGGCATCTGGCTCACCCTCCACCTTTACACTCCCTCATTAACACCAGCTAAAGACCCACCACCCAACAAAGCACACTGGTCGTCTGCAACCCACGTCAGGGCCTTTGTGATCGAAGGATGGCTTCTTCCCTCAATTTTCCAGAGTCATCGGGATTCTCCTGCTGGCTTCTCTGCGCCAAAAGTAGCTAATGGGCAAAAACCAAAACGTCAGACTCCTCAGCCTTTACCTTAGTGATGGTACCCACAGCTTTGGTGCGGCCTTCACGGAAGACCAGCCGCTGGTCTATATGCAAATATTCCGGGGTTTTGATGAAGCGAAAGTGCACTGTGGCTTTGTCCCCTGTCCGCAGGCAGTCCTTGTCCATGCTGAGAATCGTGGCCGTCTGACGGATGCTGCCACAATGCACTGCAAATGTAAAGCACAAAGGCTTTCAACAGCCAGTGCCATTAGTGGAATGAATAAGCTTCAGACAGACATCTAAGGCAGCTCTCGCTACCCTCCAGCTAACAGCGCTGAGCTTGGAACATAAAAATCTACTGGGTACCAAAGACCGTACGGGTCATGTGGCTGCCTTTGTTCAGTCCTCAAAAAGAAAACATGTATAAGCCAGAATTGCTGCTTTCAAACGGAGACTTTCCTGAAGCATCCTCAACAGAATTGTCCAGCCAGGCTAGAGAGCAGGACCTAAAATGAGTCTCTCAGTCAGCATTTGAAGCTGAAGAATCTTTGCACCCTGGAGATCGGGCTCAGTCAGGCTCCAAGTACACCTGGGAATCACACATTTCTTTTTACCTACAGCCTTCACCACTCTCCTCTGTCAGCTTCCTCCCCTCTCTCTCTCTCTCTAATGCATTGCTTGGAAAGGTCAAAACGGGAATCATGCTTAAATTCAGTGTGACAGAGCCAGCAGGACAAAAATTATCTCAGGCTAGAGTCAATACAGACTCTTGCCACTGGGAAACAAAGACGAGACAACAGTGAGACACATACCCATGGCCTGATATCGTGGGCTGATGGTGGTGGGGTGATGGAGCACCAGAATCTCTGCTTCAAACTCCCAGGATGCTTGTGGATTCAGGCGGGGTGACACCATTACCATGCCTTTCCGGATGGAAGAACGTTTGATCTGAAAAGCAGAGGCACAAATAACCATAGCATGATTCTCCAGGGAAGAAATTTGCTTGCCTGGCTGACTGTATCCAGAAGGATCCTACAGGATTTCACAGATATTAACTCATGCTCACCAAAAGGCAAAGCCAGATTTGTTTAGCAGTACGTAACCATGTTATGCAAAGGTTCCAAAAATCAAGTTCAGACGAAGTTTCTAAGGAAGCTTTAGTTATAGTACTGGGAATGTCGGACACAAGTTTTAACTCAGTCAGCTTTTAAAAACAAAATACACATCCTGATCCATATGACTCAAGCAGATGATCTCTCCCAAAGCAAGATGTCTGTTAACACAAAATGGTAAGACCGAACACATGAAGTTTGCCACAGCTTAAACTATATCCCCTTGAAATCAGCGCAGCTTCTATTGACAGAAACCAGAGGAATCTCATCAATTTTTGGTAGTTTTTAAACCACAAATCATGGAGTTGGTCCTACAAGTCGAGAGAAATAGTGTAAATACCCTGCCTATGCCACTAAGGAGCCTTTTCTTGCAACGCCTTTGCCCTGTCACACGTCTCCATCACTACCCCTCATTACCTTGAGCTGTCAGGTGGGGCAACTGAGACACAGGACCCACAGAGGTCCTCTGGGATTCTAATGTGCTGTGAAATGAGGCACCTGAGGTTTGCAAAAGCAGTTTGATTGCAGTTGAACTCCAAGAGAGGTCTAGATTTAGGAGGGTAGTTCCCATTTTGGGAGTCTAGAGTGGATCATCTCACCTTTTTCAAAGCAAAGGAGGCAGTCTGACCTCCCCGCACTTCTTTGACAGGCATTCTCTTGCGGTGGATGGACTTGACAGCAATAGGTAGGAAGTTGCCAAGGGGATCTGGCCCAAGCAGCAGGGTGTCATTGAGCTTGATCAGGCCTCTCAGTGTCGTCCCAGACACAACTGTTCCTACACCCTATGCCAAAAAAGAAAAACCAGTAACCGGGATTATTCGACCACGCTGGCAGAAGAGCTCTAGAACTCCCCTCTCTAGGGAAGATACCTTCTTCAACCTGAAAGAGGGAGCAGAAGATCATTCCAAATATCAGGCCTCTTACCGGGACAGAGTAAGTATCATCTATCTGGAATTCTGCTGGCTCTTCTTCCCTGTAACTGGTCCGCGGAGACAGGAGATTAAGAAACATTTTCAGCAAATCTAGGTTCTCCCCGGTCACATTTGAAATCTGGAAAATGGGGCACATCCTGTAAAGGAAAAATCGATGAAAATGGAATTAGTTCACCTCCCTGTCTGGAATTTCACGTGTAGGG